GGCTGCCTGGTGGCAGGAGAGGGACATTCTCGCTGGGCTGGAGGTTTCCAGGGACTGGGGCTGGCCCCTCCTGGTGCCTGGTGCCTTGCCGGTGGCAGCCCAGTCCACCGAGTGGTCAGGGCGTGTAGCCAGCAGGGGGCGCCAGCGTGCAGGCGCGAGCAGTCAGTTGCTCAGGTGCATGTTGGGCAGGACCTCCTGGCCTTTTCCAGGCCGGCGGGCAGGTTCTTCGCACATCTCACATCGCATCCCCCCACCCCCCGCCCCCCAATAACCCTACGGGGAAGGGAGCATTATTACCAGTTTGCAGATGAGGAAACTGAGACACAGAAAGGTCCAGGCGTGGGCCGGTGGTCAGCAGCTGGGAAGTACCCCCCCAGGGCCAGTGGGAACCAGAGGTCTGGATCATGGCCTGCCCTCAGGCTGGCCTCCTGGAAGATACACAGTGAGCTCAAGGTGTTGTTACTGCCCATCGCCATGATGGGGAGAGTGCAGAGACCCAGGCACCCAGAGCAGGGTGGGGTTCCTGCAGAGCTGGACAACGAGACAACCTGTTGAAAGGAACAGGTGTGAGCACAGGAGAAGGGGCTGGGGTGGCGTCCGAGAGCCTCAGTGAACTTGGCCGTCCACTGGCGCCACGTGTCCCCAACCACTCGCCCTCCTCCCTCTGCCCCAGGCCAGCTGCCAGCCCCCAACAGTGCCCCAGCCTCAGCCATGAGCCCCTGGAGGAAGAACCACCTCGGCACCAGCAGCTCTGAGCCCCTCAAGGTCATCATCATCGGTGAGTGCCCCCTGGGCGGGGCAGGGGGTGAGGATGGGGCATGTGGGCAGCTCCGGCCCCTGTGTCGAAGGCCGAGGGTCAGAGCCAGGAGCCAGGCCGGCCTTTCTTTACAATTGTCTTTAAAATGGGCCCTTGAGCCTTCACTGTGTGTCTGGCGTGTAGCTTCGTGATGTGTAAAATCTTCCGCGAAACCCTGCCAGGTGCCTACCCGTCGAGAGCAGATGTGCCCAGGTTGCCCCAAGGGCAGGGCGTGGGGCCCCGTTCTAGGCCTGCAGCAGCCCGCACTTACCGGGCCTGGCGCCTCGCTCTGTGCCCATGAAAGGGGCCGTGGCCAAAAGACGTGGGCTCCTGCCCCACACTTGTGAGCCTGGGGCAGTGCCCTCCCAGCGTGGGCATCCAGTGACCCACAGGGGCCCACTGCTGAGCGCCAGGATTTCGTGGTGCGGGTCCCGCAGGCGTTTGACTTGCGAGTAACAATCTGAGCAGCACGGGGGTAAGTGAGACGAGTAGAGAAAAGCAGCCCAGATGGGGTGACCACGCGCCTCAGGCCCAGGAGGCCGCAGGGCAGCCACACCGCTAGCGCCGATGGGGCCAGGCAGCCGCGGGCGCTGCGTAAGCCCCTCCTGAGCGCCACGGCCCTGGGCGCAGGCAGAAGTCGCAGTCTGCGCGGACCTGGCGTGTCTGGCCAGTGGGAGGACAGGACCAGATCCCGGAGATCTCAGTGCTGCTGTGTGACCGTGGTCGGGTTACTTCACCTCTCTGGGCCCTTCACCTTCTAAGGTACAAAGGAGGAAAAGAGAGTGGCAGACCCCTAACTAATTACTAGCACTGCGCAGTGGGCTGACGCAGGCGACAGGCCGTCCGTCGGTGGGCCGCAGCAGCACCACAGTTCAATTCGTTGTTATTCTGATATTATTAAGACCGCTGGAGCCAAAGCCTTGGCACCTGGGGAGCCCTGCACGAGGCAGGTGCTGGCCGCCGTCCCCTCCGCTTTTGTGTCGTGGCGCAGCACAGCCGCGGGCGTGTGGTGGGCCCTTGGGCTGACCTCGCTCAGCTCCCGCCCGGCACAGGGCACAGCCGCAGGGGCAGTGGGCTCTGGCACTCGGCTGCTCTCTCTGACGCCCCCTTCTCTCCCCAGGCAATGGGCCCTCGGGCATCTGCTTGTCCTACCTGCTCTCGGGCTACACCCCTTATGTGAGACCCGGAGCCGTCCACCCGCACCCCTTGCTGCAGAGAAAGCTGGCCGAGGCGCCGGGCATCTCCATCCTGGACCAGGTGCGCCAGCTCTCACGGCCAGGGCTCCTGGGGGCACCCCCCAACCCCAGGGACGCTCTCCCAGCCTCCCAGGACAAAAGTGCAGCCCCGTGCTTGTTCATAGCATGCAGGAGGCCGAGTTCCAGGCACAGAGCTGGCAAGAGAGAAAACCGGCTAAGGCCCTATCCACGGGCCCCACCGGCCACCCTCACCCAAGGCTTCTGAATCTGGGGGGCATTTTGCTCTCCAGGGGAACGTGGGCAGGCTGGAGACAATTTTGGTTGTCACAACAGGTGTTCTGGGACCACTGGCTTAGAGGGTGAGGCCAGGGCACCCAGTCAGCCTGCAGGGCCCAGGACCTGGCTGAGGGATTTCAGTCCCAGTCCCCACAACCCAGAGGCTAACCAGGCCTCCAAGCCAGGAGGACATCCACGCCCACCACTAAGCCCACCCCAACCGGCAGATAGCATTTGGCTTCAAAATGCCTTTTCTAGGCCTTAGCTCCTCAGTCGAGCGTGCATAGAACGGTTCCTACCAGCAAGTTGGGGGACACTGGTTTGGCAGAATCTGGCAGGTAAATGGTGCGTAGGCCTCCAACTGGCCCACAGCACCGTGTGCAGAAAGACAGGTATCCTGAGCTCAGGGACACCCAGGGTACGGGACCACGGACCCCAAGCCCGCTGCCCTCCTGACCTGTGCCCCTTTCAGGACCTGGATTACCTGTCAGAGGGCCTGGAAGGCCGGTGCCAAAGCCCCGTGGCCCTGCTCTTCGATGCCCTCCTGCGGCCAGACACAGATTTGGGGGGCACCATGGAGTCCGTGCTCACCTGGAAGCGCCAGGAGGAGCGAGCCATCCCCCACATGGTCCTGGGCCGGAACCTGCCTGGGGGAGCCTGGCATGTGAGTGGGGGCCCCCGAGGCGGTGGAATGGGCCAGACCTGCCCAGATTCCCTCTCCTATTCCTCCCAATGTGGGGTCAGGACTCCTCCGTGCCCCTTCCCCTGTGCCCACCCCCCTTGCCCTGCCAGCCACAGCCGGCGCGGTTGGGGACAGCGGGGCCTAGAACACACGGCTCATTTCCCATGCAGAATATTGAAGGCTCCATGGTGACCCTGAGCCAAGGCCAGTGGATGGGGCTCCCAGACCTGCAGGTCAAGGACTGGATGTGCAAGAAGCGAAGGTAACACTGCCCCACCTGCCCAGGGAGGGTAGGGGCCACCCAGCCTACCCCCAGGTCGAGCCCAAGAGGGAGCTGTGAAGAAGAGCCTGGAGAGCCTCTCCTTGGCCTCCTCTTTCCCTGGGGGTGGGGCAAGGCTTGGGGCAGGAAGGCCTTGCCCAGGAGCAGGGGCAGGAACCGCAGAGCTGGGCTGGCCAGGACTCCCTGTCCAGCCTCTTGGGGATACCCACTACCTCTGGCTCAGGCTCCCCAGTATTCTGGCCCTGCTGAGTCTGAGCTGGGCCTCTTCCTCTTTTTCAAGCGTATGCACTAGAAACACATTTACATGATAGAAACCAGAAAACTGACAAAAGACAGCTCACCACACCCCACCCCTGTGCCCCCCTCTGGATGCGACTCTGTCCTGTTTCCTGTTGCACCAGCTCTACACCCCACACCGCACCCCTGGCCCCTGGGGAGAGGAGAGTCACTGAATCTGTGAGGCGCTGCCCTCCACCCAGCAGTGAGCCTGTCTCCCCCTCCGGGCTCACTGTCTCTGACACAGAAACTTCTTGTCCTGCTAATTTGGTGGGTGGACATCCAGACACTTTCACTTCATGCGCAGACCTCTTTCCCTCTGCTTTTCGATTTAACACTCAGTCCCCTGTGTGCATGCCTTCTTTCCTCCTTTCTCAATTTGTGACCATGCAATTTCTGGACTTTACATATATGTGTGTGTGTGTATTTTCTTTTTTTGCATTGTTCTTTTTTCTACAGTGTTTGCTTTTTCTTTTCAGGTGTAGTCCCTGCAAAATTCCCATCACCAGTTCACTGTGCACCATCACCATAGGGTGTAAGAATACATTCCCTCCACTGTTTTGACCCCTCCCCCTACCCTCCCCTGCAGAGTATCTCTGGTTAATAGTTACCTATTAATATTTTTAATTTATTATAATTTTTCCCTGATACCTTACTTGGTTTCCCTATATTCCTTCTATGAATGATATTATCCAATATTTTTCTTTTCCCTTCTGGCTTATTTCATTGAGCATAATAATCCTATCCAGACCCATCTATGTTGATGCAAGTGGCATGAGTTTAGTATCCCATTTTATATGTACCACATCTTCTTGATCCGTCATCTGTTTCTGGCATTGGGTTGTTCCATTGCTTACCCACTGTAAATACTGCTGCATGAACACAGGGGCAGGTGTCCTTTTGAATTACTGTTTTTGTGTCCTTTGGGTAAATTCCTAGGAGTAGAATTGCTGGATCATATGGAAGCTCCATTTTTAGTAATCTGAGGAGTCTCCAAACAGCTTTCCATAGTGGTTGTACCAGTCTGCATCCCCACCAGCAGTGCAGGAGAGTTCCTTTCTCTCCACATCCTTGCCAACATTTGTTGTTGCCAGTTGTTGTAATATGTGCCATCCTCAGTGGTGTGAGGTGGTATCTCATTGTGGTTTTCATTTTCACTCCAAGTGATTACTAGTGATGTTGAACATTTTTTCCATATACCTACTGGCCATTCACATTTCCTCTTTGGAAAAGTATCTTTTTAGCTCTTCTGCCCATTTTTTGACTGGATTGTTTAGGGTTTTTTTGTTGTTGAGTTGTGTGAGCTCTTTGTGATCAGTCCCGTATCAGTTGTACTGTGTGCCAAAATTTTTCCCGGTCAGTATGGTATCTCTTTGCTTTTATTAATATCTCCTTTGCTCTACAGAAGCTTTTTAATTTGATGTAGCCCCAGCTGTTCATCTTTCCCTTCATTTCTTTTGCTTTGGGTGATGTGTCTTTAAAGATGGTACTGAGGAAAAAAAAAATGCTGGCACTGAGATGTATGTCAGTAGTATCATATAAGCATGTAGTGCCTATATTTTCTTCTATATATTTTTGGTTTCATGTCTTTTTTCAAAGATTATTTGTTTATGCATACAGGAACTGGGGTACAGAGGTGTGGGGGTGAGAGGATTCACCAGAGACAGAGCAGAACAGGCAGATTGACTGAAATATGCTGCTGAGGGGGGCAGAGGGCAACATAGAAGGCCTGCTGTGCCCTGTAGGTCAGCTCCCTAGGGGATCGAACTCAGACTGCAGTGGCTTCTGGTAGCCCCACAGTGCTGCACTTCAACCAGTTGCGCCACCAGGAAGGGCCCTGGTTTCATGGTCTTATGTCCAAGTCTTTTATCCATTTGAGTTGGTTTTTGTGCATGGTATAAGGTAGTAGTCTAGCTTCATTTTTTTGCATGTAGCTACACTTTTTTTTTTTTTTTTTGAGGTAACTTGAATTACAGCTGTGCTGGTTCCAGGGGTACATTTTGTCACCCATCAGCAAATGTCCAATCACCACCTAGGACCGATAGGTAGCTCCCTTCTCCTCACTCCTCCACCCCAGGCCCCTCTGGAAACACCATCAGAATCTGAGTTTGTTCTTTTTCTTCTTCTTCTTCACATTCCACAAATGAGTGAGACCACTTGTTTTTGTCCTTCTGATTTATTTCACTTAGCATCTCCCCCTGCGGGCTCTCTGTATTGTTGCACATGGCAGCCATCCTTTGACATGGCCATATAATATTCCCCTGAAAGCCAATGTTGCCCTTGAATATGACCTTGCATATGCACACCAAAGGTGCTCCCCTGCCTTGGAAGGTCCACTGCCCACCTGGGAATTTCGCTGTCCCCAGTGTGCCACTCTGATAAGTAAGTGGATTCCCGGAACCTTTCCAGGACAGTCATTGAGAAGCTTGTAATAGAACAGAAGGAACAATGAGAAACCCATAGAAATAAACCCCCACAGTGTCCATTTCAGTGGGAGACAAAGGAGTTGGGTTGGCTGAGTGGCTGTGGTGATACGGGCTGAGCTCATGCCCACTGCTCACGTGGTCGCATAGATTCCTCTAAGTGAGCTCATCTTTAACAAGTGCCCAGAGTTGGAGGTAACTCAGCCAGGTCACACAGGTGCCAGAGGGAAGCACTGAGATCAAGCCAAACCTGTACTTTGTCCACTGGCAACACTGGCCCTGTCGTCATCACCCCAGAAAGGGTGACAGTAACAGTTGGTGGTGATATGGTGATAGCGGTGATGACACGGTGATGGTGGTGATGGTGGTGATGGCAGTGATGGACACCATAATAAGGGTTATTAGTGATAACCAATCAACTTGTTTACTGAACGCAACCTCCATATAGGGACAGGCACAATGCATGTGTGCACAAGATGATGAAATGTCCTAAAGTGGACACCCCTGCTTTCTAGCCACCAGAACTAAGAAGTAGACCCCCCACCCCCAGAAGTCCCCTGGAACTGTTTCAGACACTACCACCACCCCCTTCTCCCCAGGGGGAGCCTCGCTCTCGCTTTGCATCTGCAGATCAGTTTTGCCTGTTCTGAGGCTTTATGACAATGGAATCCTTCCGTACCTACCTGCAACATTATTTAATCCCCTGAGGTCACAATAGCAGTGGCAACTCTGGTATGTCACATACTACCTTGTAGGTCAGGTTCTTTTCTAAGTTCTTCATTCCTATCAACTCACCCAGTCCTCTCAACAGCTGTGTAAATAGGCACCATTACCATCGGTGCCCTCCTCCTGCAAGTGGGGAAACAGAGGCAGAGTCTTGGGCACATGGCTCACGAGAAGCAAAGCCGGGATCTGAACCCGGGCGGCCTGGAAAGCCCACCCATCCGGCGCTCTGTCTGCCTCTGTTTTGTAGAAGAGACTGAGGCTTAACTTAGCCTCTGGCCAAGTCCTATGGCTGGTGGGTGGCACAGTCACTGCCCGGCTCCCCCCTCCCCAACGCTCCCATGTCCCATCCTGGCTCTGCCATTCACCCTCCGCATCCTTCCCTCAGAGGACTCCGAAACAGCCGGGCCACCGCCGGCGACATCGCTCACTACTACCGGGACTACGTGACCAAGAAGGGTCTGGGCTGCAACTTCCTGTCGGGCGCCGTGGTGACAGCGGTGGAGTGGAGGACGCCCGAGCCCGGCGGCTCTGGGACCCGGGACCAGGGCCCCCTCTTCCAGGTGCGCGGTTTCCTGACCACTGAGGGCCAGATCCAGGAGCCCTTCTCCCTGTATGCCCACAACGTGGTCCTGGCCACGGGCACGTCGGACAGCCCGGCCCGCCTGGGCATCCCCGGGGAGGCCCTGCCCTTCGTCCACCATGAGCTGTCGGCCCTGGAGGAGGCCAGGCGGGCGGGCAGCGTGACCCCCACTTCAGCCCCTGTGCTCATCGTGGGCGCAGGCCTGTCGGCGGCCGACGCGGTCCTCTACGCCCGCCACTACAACATCCCCGTCATCCACGCCTTCCGCCGGCCCGTGGACGACCCCGGCCTGGTGTTCAACCAGCTGCCCAAGGTGCTGTACCCGGAGTACCACAAGGTGCACCAGATGATGCGCGAGCAGTCCATCCTGTCGCCCAGCCCCTACGCGGGCTACCGCAGCCTCCCGGAGCACAGGCTGCTGGCCTGCCGGGAGGACGGCCAGGCCGTGCTCCGCAGCCCCCGGGGCCTCCAGAAGGGCTTCGGTGTCTCTCTGGTGCTGATCCTCATCGGCTCCCACCCCGACCTCTCCTTCCTCCCTGGGGCCGGCGCCAACCTGGCCCTGGACCCTGACCAGCCACTGAGTGCCAAGAGGAACCCTGTTGACGTGCACCCCTTCACCTACCAGAGCGCCCAGCAGGAGGGCCTGTACGCCATGGGGCCGCTGGCCGGGGACAACTTCGTGCGGTTCGTGCAGGGCGGCGCCCTGGCCGTGGCCAGCTCCCTGCAACGGAAGGAGGCCCAGAGGCCACCCTAGCCCCAGCATCCTCGCACCCAGACCCTAAAGAAGAGGGGAGATCACTGCCCCCCTGCTGCGCACCCCCACCAAGGAAGGAAGCTTCTGCAGGAGACAGTGGGGTCAAGCCCCTACCACCGGCCTCTGAAGAGGCAGGGGAGCCCCGGCCGACAGCTCACGAAGAGCCCAGAGCGGGGACAGCAGCTGTGGGCCCAGGTGGGCCTAGAACTACAGTTGAGGGGCAAGCTGCCAGTTGGGCCAGGGTCACCAGGGCCAGCTGAGTGCCCAGCCAGGAGGACTGCACGCTCCATCCTCCCAGGATAGGTCCTGAATAAACCAGCGCCTGCCTCCACTCACATGCCTGAGGATTCTGTGCTTGTGGAGGGGGCCTAGGGCCAGGCCCCTGCCCGGGGAGCCTGCGGGAAGCACAGGGCCAAGTATGTCTACCATCTGGGGTACCTGGGACATAAGGGACGGTGCCCCCAGGGGGTCAGCTGAAGTGAGCAGATGACAGATGAGCTGTGAAGGTAGATGTGTGCCAGGAATGGGGTGCTGAGGAGGCTTTCCCTGTCCCTGCTCCCCACCCCTCCTGCCTAGACCTGGCTCCTCGCCCACACTCCTCCCCACTGCTCTCTCCTCCTGTTCACCATGACACCTGCCACAGGACATCTGCACAGGCTGGTCTCTGGCCCAGGCACTTTCCCCTCCTCTCCCTCCCAGCCAGCATGCACATCACTCCCCGGAAGCCTGTGGGAACTCCGTGGGTCATGGGTCAGCCCCTCTGGTGGCCCAAGGTACCACCTCTCCATGGGAGCTCAGTTTTCACTGTTCCTTTATTCAAGCCATTCTAGGGTCCAGCCCTGTCCACTTGGACGTAGGCTTCAGGAGGCCCAGGGCCCAGCTCACTTGCCCATTATTGAGACTCAGCCCCTGGCTCCGCCGGCGCTCAGCAAGTGCGCCTGACCTAAGGTTTCTGGACTGCTGGTGAATGGC